TGTAAGTAATAGTCGTACAGGGCTAGTGGCTATTAGGTAGAGAAGTGCAACTCTGTGCATTGGCTAAGGGATATGTGAGTAGCCCACAAGAAAGAGGGGGCTTTAGGTTAAGTAACTGAGAGTAACTAAGCCAGCCATGGACATCAAATACAACTATCCACTAGTTCTGATTGTGCAGAAATCTGTAGGAAAGGAGGGGTTACAGCTAGAAATAAATCAAATCCTGTATTGCTGATTTCATGTTTTCCTGCTCCAAAGGTCAACTAAGAGAGCACCCACTGGCTATTTACATTTCCACAAGAAAACAACAGACAACTTAGATCTAGCTATAAATATAGTGGAGGACATTTGAAATGACTGGAAACAAGATAATCAATCTGCCTTGCTGGCAAAAATTTATTGAGCAAATTCTCACAGGGTGCGCTGTCTCTGCAGGATTTTATATGTTCTTCTCACTGTCTGATTGAATTACACTCCTGTGCATGAAGTAAATTCCCCTTTTAAATACTCAACAAAAATGAATGATTTGGAATTTTGAATAAAGCATGACACCATAGGTTATTGTGAACAAATACACAAATTTTAAAAATTGTATTTTTATATCTCATGTATATTCTTGTGCAGCTATCCCAATGGTAAAATTGGGAGGTGGGAGAGAATAGGGAATCCCATAAAAATTTATATGGATTTATTTAAAATGTCATTTAAAATGTAAAAAAAAAAAGTGAAAGTTTTATTTATTCATACAAGAGCTGTGGTATAGACCAGAGGTACAGGGGGTGAGAGGATTCACCAGACAGAGTAGTAAGCAGAACAGGCTAATCTCCTGAGATACACTGCTGAGGGGGAGCAGCAGGCGACAAAGGAAGGGTCTGCTACACAGAGAAAGAGAGAGACCTATTTATCCCCCAGTGTCCCAGAATTCCTGCTTAACTCTGCCCTTGGGTCCTCGCAGTTCTCTCCCTGGTACTGCTGGGAGTTGTAGTTTCCAATCACTGGAGTAGGGGGTAGAGTCCAGAAAGCTGGAGTAGGGGGTGGAGTCTAAAAGACTCTGCAGAGTTCCTTTAGGACATCCTTCCCTTAACAAGCTCCCTGGAGGGGTATCTAACTGGTGCTGCAGTGGCTGCTGATAGCTTCATAGTGTTGAGACTTAACCCTTTGCACCACCAGGGAGGCCCTAAAGCTAAAATTTCCCATGAAGATAATTGTAGGTCACATGTAGTTGGAAAAGCAATGAGACCAGGTGGCAGGGCCACCTTGCCAAGGCCGTGCTACCCAAATACTTTAATACTTTCTGGGTTCTTCACCAGCACACACAGAATTGCAAGACTGCTCAGGCTTAAGAAAAACAACAAAGGGATTTAGTTGCTGAGGACAATATTGGCTGTTTATCCAAAGTTGTGTCCAGTACTGTCCTGCACAAAGATTGTTGTGATGCCGTCTTCTGGTCACTGAGGATGTGCAGCTCCTCTCCCAAACAATAGGCCACATATCTAAGATGACATCTTCCTGCCTCTGCCCACCTGGGGCACACAGCAGACAGGCTCTAGGCCAGGTTCCAGCTCACAAAGACAGCAGAATACACAACGGGAGACACTCCAGGAGCTACTGAAGCTGCATTACAGAACCAGATAAATGACCCAACAAAAGGCTTCACTCATGCAGCTAAGACAGGCTGTAACCACAGCAAAAACCAGGAATCTTTTCAGTTGCTAGGCTACTTGCAACGCCTCTTCTACAAGGTTGGCTAATCAAGCCTTCCCCCTTCAGAAGTCCACAGCAGTCTTCTGCAAGATCAGCCCCTCTGGGGCTGAAATCCACTGGCCCCCAAAATGCTGAAACTCAAACCTTGAATTCAGACAAAACAACCTTCTCTTTCTTTCCCCCATTCTAGTCAATTTTATTTACTCTCCAAGCAAGATCCTCCTCAAAATCTGATAAGTTTTAGCATTTTCCCTGAGGCTGTTTGTGTTTACCAGAAACCCCTAGGGTGGGGCTGGTCAACACCTCCAAAAGTCTTTGGCTTCAGCCACCCAGTTACAGCAATACAGAAATATTTTGTGTAATGTTTTCCTCCATGCAAAATTTGTATTTTGCAAAACTGTAGTGTATCATAACCAGATACTGACATTGACAGATTGTCAGTTTTATTAACAACACATATTATGTATGTTTGTATATGTGTATATATGATATAGCATCCCTTCACAATGACATCAAATAAGTCATAGATACAGGGATTTCCTTTTGAAAAATTCCATCGGTGTAAAAGAAGTGTCTGCATTTCTGGAAACTGCATGTAAATCTGGTTGTGATATTGCTTATTGAGGGTTAAGCAGGAAGAAAAGAGAAATAAGGAGAAGGTGGAGCAGGAGGGTTTTTGTTTTTGGAGGAAGAGACAAACTAGAACAACTTTGAAAAGCTGCTTGTATAGGGGGCCAGAGGAGAGTTTCTATTATATACTTAAGATTGAAAAAGTTAGTTTATCCAACATTGACTTATACCATGGAATTGGATACACGGGACAAGATTTATTTTCTCAACTATTCAACAGGAACTAAATGTTCTTGTTCCCATCCCTACCTCCCCATGCTTTGCCCAGAAGCTAAATTTTTAACTAACTGCAGGAATCCCTGTCACACTTGAATTTCTAACAATGTGTTCTTTAGTATGAAAAATCAGCTTCTTACAAACTCATAGATAAGGAAAGCATACTGAAAAGAATATATCAAGTTCTATGCAAAGATATATGTGTGTGTGTTTCTTTTAGATCTTGTAATTGATAAGATTTTTTCATTACCTGTTTTACAGGATTTTCCTCCCCTTTGGTTATAGAAGGGAATTTAAATGAACTCATTTATTTTTCCAGTCTCACAAACCCTTTGGAAACAGATTTTTACATTTTATTTTAAGTAATACCAAAGGGCTTCTGGGATTCACAGGGGTCAAACAGGAAATAAAGTGCATGTAGAGATATAAATGAGCTGGGGAATAAAAGATTCTTGAACCATTTGATGAACAATAGCTTCCATGATCACCCCCGTGGGACTTTCTTTCACATTGATTTCAGCCATCAACCAGTCACATTTATCAGCAACTGATTTGATGGTGGATGCATTTTATAACTCACTAGACATCATTATCTTATAGCCTAATAAAACTTGATACAAAAGCCTGTACAATTAAACTAGCTCTGTCTAAAACACTGGTGTTATATAGTTCACCAACCAAGTACTGTACTCTTAAATAAGGATGGAAAGAAATGACAATTTCTACTTAAGTGAAAGCATAAACTTAAAGGGAGAAATGAAGAAAATGGAATTGAAAATTAAGGGCAAAAAAAAAATCAGTACATATTGAAAATAATCAGTGAAAATAGTGATAATAATTAGTAATTTGGAACAATTACCTAGATATATTAAATCAGCAGAGAAATGCAATTGTGAAAAACAATAGAAGAGAGAAATTAGGTAAATCAGTATACCAAGGTGATAATGTAGTAGATAGGAGTATTGAACATCAACACTGTCTAAAACTCTGTAATTGAAAAGATTTTCTCAACAAGAGAAAAAATAAGATAAAGTGTTATCAAGAGAATTAATGCCAAATTTTTAAGTGCAGTTAACCAGGCATCATGTATAACTTTTGAGGGAATGTATTTTGAATTTCAGGTTGTAAGTTTTTCAATAGATGATGTTGGGGCAGTTTGGGTTGATATTCTACTTTTCTGTCAAAATAAATTTCGTATGGATAAACGATGCACGTGTTGCAGACAAAACAACTAAGGCACCATAAGGAACCATGGGAGAACTGTTGTATAATCTTGGCATAAGGAATGCCTGCTTATGGACAGATACAAATACTTCACAAACTCTGAAGCCATAAAATTAAATGACATATTTCATTAACACAATAGTTGGAAAAGTAAATTAAAAAAAAAAAAGATGGAGGGTGACAGATACACACACAAACATACATATCTGCAAATTTTATCACAGGGAATGCTGACTCCCTTACTACTATATAAAATGATAAGAAATAAATTGACATTCCAAGAAATCAACCATGAACAGATAGGTGATAGAAAATGCAAATCCGTATGACTTTTAAGTGAATGAGATGTTCATTTTCATCATAAGAGAAACTGAAAAATAAATTGCATACACATATTTCTTACCTAAGAGAGTAACATAAATCAAAACACTAATAATACACTATTACTTCTCTGTTGTACAACAAATCACTACAAAACAATACAACTTAAAACAATACAAATTTACTATCTTATCATTTCCTTGGATCAGAAATCTTGGCATTGCATAGCTGAATCCTCTGTTCAAAAATTCAAAAGCACAAATTTTATTGGGGATGAGATTTATGAGGTCTCGAAATCCAGCATTTCGTCAAAAATGCAAGCACATGATTTTTGCAAATGAGAAACTAAGGAATTTCTGAGACAGCAGCCTTGCTAGTGCTGGTAAGGAATTTATTCACCTGTAAAATGAGAACAGCTTAGAATCTGCATTTTAACCACAGACCCAGAGGATTGCTAATCCTTTTTTGGACTAAAGGTCACTGAACAGAAATTCTAGAGGATCCTGACTCTGCTTGCACTGAATTCCTCATCTCGTTGCTTTTAATAGGCCCGGGCACATCATTCCCACTCTTATTTAAGCTTAGTTTTAAGAGAGGTCTAGGAAAATGCCCTGCCCACCAATGCCATCTAGAAATCCTGCCAAGCAACGGTAAAGCGACACACCTCAGGGCTCTGAGCGGCCTTAATGTGTTTTCTTACTATTCGGACACTAAGTGTGATCCCGCTCTTTTTTTTTGGATGCAGCTGCCTCTCGTTTCACCCAATCGCGCCCCCTGGGCGGCGCCAATAAAGGGCCAAGCGTGAGGCAAACGCGCGGCTACCAGTGGTTGCCTAGCGACGGCGTCCGCGCGAGTCCTGGGTTGGTCTAGTCGGCTACCGTTAACGCGCTATCTAAAGCACGGCTATGGGGACCGAGAGGGCCTCGATAGTCCCCCGGGACATGGAGATTCCAAAAAAGGAGATACAGCTGCGGGTGACCCCGTCGGAGCTAAAATTCATGGACACGCTGGCTGGGAAGGTGTATCGCCTCCCACTTACAGTACACAACCTCGGCCGCAGCAACCAGAAGATCAGGTTTCAGGAACCGGTCAAGCCACAGGTGACACCCTGGGGGACTTGAAGGAGGATCTGAGAAACCTGTCCTCTGGGAATGCTTTCCTAACGGGCTGGCGCCCACTTTGCCCCGGGAGCAGACACCGGGTTCTTGCGGGAGTGGGGGCAGACCTGAGCTTCCCGGGAGCTCTGATTTTAGGTGTTTCTGTGTAAATGTGTTCACCTTTTCGCTTGGTTTCTTTTGTATTTTGCTATGGGTTTGGAGACTGGGTGGAGATAGGTCGGTCTAGAACCTTCCGTTTATTTTCATTCTGAATTTGCAAAAGCAGGAAGTCAGATCCCTGTCTGTCTCCCCTTAACAACCTAGAATTACACCTTTATAAGACTGTGGAGTTATGAAAACAAAGTTCTGTTAAGTACTCTTTGAATCCTAAAGTGACTGCTTGCTCCAGATGCTGTAGGATAATGGGATAGTTTATTATTTATACTTCAACAAACTTTTCATAAGTCGCAGGCTGATTGAAGGCAGGTGTGAGTAATGTAGAAGGGCACAGCTTTCTCCTCACAACTCAGAAACCAGTACGAGTCCGTGCAAGTGTCAAAACCTCCAATATTAATGTCTTGAGAGACTTTCCCCATCTTCTGATTTAAAAGTTGATTGAATTTCACCTCAGTGTTTTTTTAAGTCATGTATATAAATGGATGAATATTAGTTTGCTATGACCACGTGTTCTCAGATTTTTGACATAAAAGCGGTGACAATGATGTCTTAAATATGTGATAAATATCTTTTTTTTTCATGAGATAGTCCTAATGATAAATAATATTGACCATTGCTGGACTTACATGTACAGAAATGGGAAGATGCTATGATTACTTTTGTTAAATATTAAATATACATATATATGTACATAGTAGAGTATGATAGTGAGTAGAAAGGCTGTGAGATAAAGGACTTTCATGTTCTGTGTTTTACACTTTAAACAAAATGGATGTACCATTTTATTTACGCTATAGTGCATATAACTTTAAAGCATGCTAATTTTTTTTTATATGTGTATGTGCCCGTATAGGAACCACTTGGTTCAAGTAACTGAGTATTTCCAGTACTCCAGAAGTTTCCCTACAATCCCTGGAGTTATCACCTGGTGGAGATGACCACTGTACTGATTTCTAACATCACATATCAGTTTTGTCTGCTGCTGAGTTTTATACATATGGAATCATCCTTTATACATTTTATATTTGCATATTTTAATGATACAAATGTATTTTGCAATAAAATAGTACATCACAGGAGACTATTAACTATTTTTAAATTAAAAAGTACCTGAGTACTCTAAGTACTGTAAAAATGAAGGAAATATTTTACTATTTCACTACCTTACAACACATTTATTAAACAGTTGAATGTATATTTGAAAATACTTTCTTTTAAAACTCAGGCAGGAATTCTTGTATATGTACAAAAACAATTTTATGGATGTTCAGGAGGTGCTTCATGACTATTGTACGCACTCAGAAGAAAAATAAGGTCATTTTTTTGGTTTCTATCTAGGGTTGTAAAAGAAACCTTAGCTCTTGAACTGGCAAAGACAGACTGACAAGTTCAACGCCAAAGCTATTTGCCCAATATTTGTGTGAACTTCTCTTTATTATAGGACCATGATATGCGTGCTTGATCCCTTAAAGGTGTAAAAGTAATTCAAGAGGATATAGATTAGCAAAAAAAAAAAAATGCATTCATGGTGTCTTGAAATAATATATGCTTCTAACTAGCTCACACAATACTTCCTTCTTAGGAGATTAGATCTGTAATTTGATATTTTTTCTTCCACTAAAGTTCAAACTGATTTTGACCAATCTGGATAAAGAGCTTGCTTCTGGCCTTCAGATGACAGCTATGGTGGAATATCATCCTGATAAAGATGAAGACACTTTTGATCAACTGTTTATTTCAATAGGAAATAAAACAATAGAGATCCCTCTAATGGGGTATGTATTCTTCATATTTCCTGGGATCATTCTGAACAATCTTCAAATAAAAATAAGGGTCAAAGTAGTATTCTGTATTTTCTCTAATATGACTTGTTTCATCAAGAGTTTCCTTGTAGCTGAACTGAAAGGACACATTTTTAGGAAGTTGCGGTTTTAAAACAAATAGAAGACAATTTTTCTGGTATTTTTATTAAAATAACTTAAAACCATTCAAGAATCACATTTTTTTTTTTAACCTCACAAACTATTTTCTTTCTAGAGTATTATTTTGGTATCTTTTGACAGCAAGGCTTGTTAAAGCTTTTTTTTTTTTTTTCTGTCTCTACAGTCTCATTTTCTATTCTCAGTTCAATAAACACCAGATGGGCTATTTTCTTGAGCTTTCCAGTGAAGCAGTTCTTGCGTGTTGCCAATCTATGGGGTAACTCCTGTGACTTTCTCTTACTCTATTTCTTAGCAGCTTAATGAACCATCATTACCTTCTTGGCTCACTTTATGCTCTTGACTTCCCTGCTACCACACTTTTTCACTGGCTTTTTCTCATGTTAGCTTTCTTTTTTACAGAAATGTAATTGACATAACACTGTGCAAGTTTAAGGTGTACAATATGTTCATGTGAGGCAGCTATAATATTGCAATACTATTATCATCAAAATGTTAGCTCACACTTATATAATTATCATTTTTTTATTGTGGTGGGGACAGTTAAGGATCTAGTCTATTATCAGCTTTGAATTTTATAGTACAGTATTATTGGCTATAATCACTATGTTTTATATTAGCTCTCTGCAAGAATTTATTTGTGTACTAGTTCACAGTTTGTACTTTTAAAATCTACCAATTTCTGCAACCCCCTCCCTCTGGTAAATATCATTCTACTCTGTTTATATGATGAATGTATTTTTAAATGGATTCTTTTAAACCTATAGTCACACTTTAATCTTAAATTATGTTCATATTCATGTCACTGAATTTTAAGTAATGCAGATGTTTGGCTTTATAATAATCAAAATGTTTTTTTTTAAAACAATGGTTGGAAAATGTGCATAGATATAGTAAATATAACACAGCAACTGATTTGGAAATTAAATGGTACAAATTATTTGGTCAGAACAATGTAATTTTATACTAAAAAAGGTGTATTTCTGTTCATTGCAAAATTACCTTTTAAAGCTAGTGTTCATTTGTAAAGTGTGTTTAATTCATATAGCTATCTGTGTGATCCTTCTTTTCCTTAGAAAAATATGGTAATTGGATTGTTTACTTTTTACTGTTGAGTTTTATAATTTCTTTGTGTAATCTGAGTATGTCTTTTGATACACTTTGTATAATCTAAATTGTCTTTTTGATAGATCTTTAATTTGCATATTTTATGGAGGAGTATTGTTCCAGATCAGTTCAGGAAAGATACTGGTCTGTAGTCTATGCATGAATGCATGTATGTATGCATGTATGTATTTTCTTTTTCTGTGTTTCCTATAAGGGTGTTATTGCTCTCATAAAATGAGTGTTCTCTCCTGTTCTTTGGAAAAACTTGTTTAAAATTGATGCTATTTCTTTAAACAGTAGGATTCTCTGCTGTGAGCCTGAAGATTACTCTTTCAGGGTGTTTTAAAATATGACTTCAATGTTTTGATGACTATCGAACTATCCAGGTTGCTCCTTTCGTGTAAAATTAATCTAAACTCTTCTGAATACTAAATTGTCAATTTATGAGTGTGTGGTTGGTTGTTCAGAGTTTTTCGTTATTATTATTATTTTTAAAAAATGTATTTATTTATGTATATAAGAACTGGGGTATAGGCCAGAGATGCAGGGGTAAGAGGATTCACCAGAGACAGAGTAGAGAGCAGAATGGGCAAGTGTCCTGAAACACACTGTAGAGGGGAGCAGCAGGCAGGACAGGAGAGGTCTGCTGCACCATGTGGGTCATCTTCCTGGCTTGGGGTCAAACTTGTGCTGCAGTGGCTGCAGATAGCTTCATGGTGGGTGCTTTAACCCATTGTGCCACCAGGGAGGGCCTACCTTATTATTTTTGAATGACTGTACCCTTTACTACATTCCTATTGTTGGTAGTATATGTGTTCTTTTATTTTTGTATTGCTAATGATTAATCAACTGATTGATTTTTTCCCCCCAAAGAATCTGCTTTTTGTCTCTGACTTTATGGTCATTTTTAAAAAAATTCCTTTGATTGCTCTTCTTTATTACTTCCTGCCTGCCTGGTTTGGAATTATACATCTCTCTTTTACAAATTACCTGAAGCTGGAAATTAGATTTGAGATATTCTCTCACTTATCTAAGCACATTGTGTTAGCAATGACCCTCTTAACACCATGTTAGCTGTGTCCCACAAATGTCCATGTTTTATTTTGTGTTTGGCTATATGTACTTTTTTTCTTTGATAGTTCCTTTTAATTTACAGATTATTTACAAATTTTGATTAATTTTCATATTTATATAGCCTGGAAGACTACATACTTAGATGCATAATTTCCTATTTTTTTGGTTAAAATTGTTTCTCATGTTGTTTTCATGTCTTTATTTCACAATTTATTTTACTGACCAATATGTCACCAGTAGATTTGTAAGAAAATGGAAGTATCTTTTACGGAGTTAAGATAAGGTATCGGCCCTCCCTGGTGGTGCAGCGGGTTAAGGCACTGCACTGAGAAACTGAAGCCGCTTCCGCATGAGTTCGATCCCCGCCTGCCCCGGAGGCGACCACATGGCGTGGCAGACCTCTCCTGACCCGCCCGCTGCTCCCCTCAGCAGTGTCCTTCGTCCATCTGCCTGTTCTGCTCCCCACTCTGTCTCTGGTGAATCCTCTCACCCTCCGCAACTCTGGCCTGTACCCCAGTTCTGTACGAATAAATAAATAAATCTTTAAAAAAAATAAAAAAAATAAAAAAAAAAAGATAAGGTATCTACTTGTTCCCTATAGATTTTCACCAAGGTTATAATTGCTGAGATTAGTTAAGCGGTCCTCTCTTCTCCCCTAGGTTGATTCCATCCTGTCAATTGCAAATTGAGCCAGAAGTTGATTTTGGAACATTGGTTGGCAATAGTAAAGTGTATTGTAAAGAGATTGCTATCACTAACCATGGAAAAGCTCCAGGTAAGTACATTTTTAGAAACTTAGTAATTTGAACTGTATAGTGTAGAATCTAGACTCTACGATTCATAAAGGAAAAAAAGATGGTTGCCATTTGAAATAATTCAAAGCCAAGGGTCCTTAGTAGAATGACTGTAAAATACTGGTAGGCAGTAATTCATGAAAGGTGGATTTCTGATTAACACATTCTGACTCTCAGATGACTAGTGATCTCCCTGAAGATGGGAGGAAAGTTGGCATCATGGACGTGATGTGGTTCTTAAAGACATCCAGAGATAGAAGTAGGGCACAGTGGCCTACTAGCTTTGTGATCTGGGGCAAGTGTGTTTAAGGAAGTTGAATGTGGGATTCCTCATTTATAAACTGTGGCTAATAATATATAGTATGGCTCATTATGAATAAACTTGAGGTTGTAATATGTTACTTGATCCATCACAAGCTATCAATAAATATTTGTCCTTTTTCTCAATCATATTCAACTTTGAAGTTCCTAGATAGTTTTTACTAACATTTTTTTAAAAAGGAAACTCCAAAAAGAAATTTAATAATAACATGTACAGTTCCTATATACCTGAAAGAAACCCAGTATGGTTAATTCCCTAACTAACTTTTTGTTGAAAGAGTAAATGCTTCTTTCTTCTCCTGAGTGGATTATTTCTCTCGGAATTCTTACTGGGAGTTAAGAATTTCCACAAAACACTGGGTGTTTATTGATGGTATACAGTAGGCATAAAATCATGTATCCTTTCATTTTCCTGACGCGATCATTATCTTCTGGGGGATGTTAAGGCCACGCTGCCATGAGCGGCCCTAGACGGAGGGCATTTCTCTCTGAGGCTATTAGTGAGGATTTCCTGGGGCTGCCTGATTGAGTACTGGGAATTATTAAGGCAAAGGCAGTTTGTTACTTTACTAATTTTTTTCCTTCGGTATATATAAACAGGTAAAATTGATAAGTAATCCTCATTGTGTGTTGTTCATTTCACTTTCCATGCTTTAGTTTTTAAATGATTGAATTTCTGATGCCTGCGTAACTGTAATTTTAGGCTCACCATTTGTGATCTGACTTCAGCATTAAAGATGGTCTTATGGCAAGTGACTATGGACTATATAGTCCTTTAGACTCTGAGGTTGTATTTTGGACAATAATTTGTACACACTTGAGAGAATTCTGGTGTGTTATTTTACTTTCTAAAATCTCTCTTAACTGTTGTCTATTCCAAAACCTTCAGAGTTTTCAATGTGTACTGTTTTGTTATCCATAAAAGATCTCTTTAAGTTAAAAAAAATGTTTTAACTTTAATTGAATATTTAATATTATTTCACTTAATAAAATACATTAAATTAAGCTTTAGACCTATTTCCATATGTTTCAGGATTAACAACTTACTTTGCCTCTCAGTATTGTATAACTATTTTGTCTATACATAGTTTTCATAGTAAATACTACCCTTGGTTAATTATAATCGAGTATTGTAAAATGTTAATTACGGTTACCTTACAAACAAATTGCTATTAAGGAAACACATTTTCTTGGTGTCGACTTTGTCTCTCATGCTTGGAATTGAATGATAGTATTTTTTCCACTATTACTGAAATTGGTATTCTATTTTATGTTCACAGTAGCAAATACCTGTGAAGTGTCATAAAATCCTTATTAAGTATAAGCACAATATATAAATATTCATGAAAATAACAATATATTTTCATGAGGGAAACACTTATGCAAAAAATAGATTCAGCAACCAAAGATAATTTAATAAAATAGTTTAAAAAGATTTTATGTGAGAAATACTTTATAGTTTTAGAGGCAAAGATCAGTGTTTACAAATTTATGTGTATATACATGAAGAGGGCATTAGATAACCACACTCAGCAGCTTCATAGTTTGTACAGGTTTTTTTTTTTTTGTCCCTTGAGTAGTGTCACTGGGTTATTTTTGGTTTTGTAGACCCCAAAGTTTATCAGTGTGACAACTTCATGATGCTGTGTTTTTAATAGTGCATGGGATAACCATACATGGGTTTAGCAGAATATTGTTGAACAGATTTTATCTTCTTCCTCTTAATGTGACTGTTGACTGATTTTACTCTTCACTTCGTAAAGTAGCACTTGTGTTTTCATTTTGAAAAGACATGGTTCAACCTTGATGATAAATGCAATGTTAGTACTTTGTGAGCTAATGAACTTGAACTCTGTTCATTTTATGATTTTTATAAGATCATATTCCATTGTTTCTCAGTTTTTATCTTTGAAGTTTGGAAATACAGTATTTTAGCATGCTGTGAATGACAATTATTTTCCACTTCCCTTGGGTTTCCTTGAGGATTTCAGTAGACCTTTTTGTACTATAGTTTTACGATATTGAACAGACTTTAAATTTCTTAGTGTGATCTTTACACACTGTTTCTGGGTTGGAACAGCCAACAGAACTCATCCTCTCAGGTTTATTTGCACTTTTTGGCCACAAATATGTACCTCTCTCTTGCTCTTAATGCCCTCTCTACCCTATACTTTGATCGTCACCATCATCTCTGTCTACAGTTTAGGAAAAACTTGGTATCATCTGTAAACAAGGGGATTTGTTTACTGGACCAAACCCAGGAGAGATCCTCAGAATCCTTGTCAACCACCCAGAGGAGCACACACTCCTTACTCTCACTATTTGTTTTTGTTCTTTTGTTTTAGTTTTATTTTCTTGAAAATCAATATCAATAGAATCTCAGTATATTTTTCATATATAATGCCATGTTGAGTATGTATCAGGCATTCAGTAAGCCTTTGTTTAATTGATTTGTTTCAGTAATCTCTCAGAGTTTTAGTCATGTACCACTGAGCTTTCAGTGAAAGGTGATTGAATTCAGAAATCATCGACTTAATCCTGTATGAGCATTCTGAATAGTCACCACAGGTTAATCATTTGAAGACTTGTGGAGACTGGTACATTGTTGTTATGCTAAGAACCAGTGAATCTTTTTTTTAAGATTTTATTTATTTATGCATACAAGAACTGGGGTACAGGCCAGAAGGACAGGGAGTGAGAGGGTTCACAAGAGACAGAGTGGGGAACAGAACAGGCAGACTGACTGAAATTCACTGCTGAGGGGAGCAGCGGGTGAGACAGGAGAGTTCTGCTGTGCCATGTGGGTCACCTCTGGGGCAGGGATCAAACTCATGCTGAGGTGGCTGCAACCAGCTTCGCATTGCTGCATGTTAACCATACAGCATTCCCTGGCCAGGGATCTAACTTAAGATACAGTGGCTGAGGATAGCTTCATAGTGCTGTGCTTTAACCTATTGTGCCAACAAGGAGGGCCTATCTAAGGAATCTTAAAACAAAAGAAACATGCATAATATATAACAATGACCTTGGGTATATGACTCTTTATTTTAAGTGGCATCCTATAAAACTGCAATCTGTTTGCCTTCCCTTGATTTTCAAATTCTTTTCCATGAAAATGTACTCAATAGTTTGTAAAACTATTTCAGAGGAAAGGTAGCAATGCATACATCACTACCCAAATGCCTAAATTGCTTCTCTAGAGAAGGTAGAGCAACTTAGATTAAAAAAATATACTAGTGTGTGCCGAGGAATGTTCATCTCAGCCCATATGCTCTCGGAAGTCTCATTAGTGGAGACAAATCTAAATGTTTATTTTTATTTTACGTGGTACATTAGCACTCTTTGACACAGTGGACCACCACTGTCTTCTTAGGAAAAAAAAAAAAAACAAAACTAACAGCTTCTGTGATCCCTCACTCTCCTGTACAAAACAGTGCTTAATAACTCAAGCCCTGGAGTGACATTTTCCAGGCCCCAGAACTTGGCTACACTATTTACTGGCTGAGAGGCCCGGAGTAAAGAATTGACTCTTCCTGAGCACATATTGCTTCACTTACACAGTAAGAGAAACATAGTGCCTGCCTCCTCTAATAGTGACGATTAACAAAATGCTTAGCACACTGACAGATATTAAGTGTTCAATAAATATTCACTCCTGGTGTTAAAGCTATTCTTTTTTCTCCTTTCTCTTCAGTTCTCATCTGTGGGCAGCTGCCCTTTTTAGGATACATTAACTGAGTATTCGTTAGGATTTGCCAAGGACCACCCCCCACACCCCATGTTTCCTCTATCAGCATGCCCTCCCTAGCAATCACTTACTTTCTTTTTACTTCATATAGGTCTATATAAGACTCCTTTTTTTCTTTAGGTCTCCTCAACTTAACCTGTCTAAAGCTAAATGCCTCAGCTGCTCCTCATAACTTTTTCTTTTCATTAAATTTCACCACCATGTATTTGGGTAAGTCAGACAATAGGCAAGAAACTTGCCACCACCCTCAGTCATTTATTAAATCCTGTCAGTTCACTTCCTAATTATGTCAGTAATCCTGCTTTTTCTCTGTTTCTACAGCAGGCCATCATCCTCTCTTGCCTGGTAATTACACCAACCTAAATGATTTCTCTGAAGCCTCCTCTTATCTCCTTCTAGTTAATTCTCCACACATTAGCCAGTGTCACATCTAAAAGGAAATGAAAACTTGATGACTAAAATTCCATTTTTAACATCTTGCCTTCAATGACACCCTCCTATTAGGTTGTCCTTGCTCTTTTTAGCAATTAAAAATAAAAGCTAAGGCCCTCCCTGGTGGCGCAGCGGGTTAAAGCACAGCAATGAGAATCTGAAGCCACTTCCGCATGAGTTCGATTCCCGCCTGCCTCTTGCCCGGGAGGAGACCACATGGCGAGCCAGACCTCTCCTGACCCGCCCACTGCTTCCCTCAGCAGTGTACTTCCTCGATCTGCCTGTTCTGCTCCCTGCTCTGTCTCTGGTGAAGCCTCTCACCGCCCCTGAGCCTCTGGCCTGTACCCCAGTTCTGTATGAACAAATAAATCTTTAAAAAAATAAATAAATAAAAGCTAAATATTTCACTGTTATTAATGGTATTAAAGTAACATAGGACACAGTAATGTTTCTGTACCTACTATTTTAATATATTTGGGAGACTGAGCAACATTTTAGGGGGGGGTTTGAGTTATTCCTGAATAAGTTTTTGAAACATTCACTTACATTCTTTTGTCAAATTATGTTTTAAGTTTTCACAATATAGGAACTATTTCACTGACTTAGTCTTAACTGAACTCGTAGTTGTCTTTCTCCAGAGAATTAAGTAAATAACGCTTACTTGAAGTGGATATAATTTTATAGACTTTATTTCATGAGAGACTAAAATAAAGCTTAAATATTGTGTCATTACCACTTTTAAAATGAATAGATGAAAAAAAAAGTTACTATGACTATTCCTTTTCTATCAGGCCATTTCAGTACTTAAAAAAATGGTTTATTATTTTTTTATATAGTATTTTTATTATGCTAATATTTTATATACTTTAGTAAAATGAATACTTTTGAAAATACCTTTAAGTGTGATTTAAAGCTGAATTGGGAAATTACAAAATTGTTTATGTTGGCAGTATATCCATTTGTGTTAATATTATATGATGATATTTTAAAAACCCACATCTGGCTGCTTCTCCTTGTTGAACACATTTTGAGGACCACTGAATGCTGTGTACCAGGACCACACAAATGAGAATCAGCCTCTTATTTCAAAGACCCACACTCTGATGTAGGCACCAAGTATTACCATAAATTGTGATGTTTTGACTTCAGTTTACACAATTTTGCATTTGCTGTTTGATTCTAGAAACCAATCCCTTATACCTTGTCCCTGTGTGCACTGCATTAATTCATCTAAAGAAGTGACAGTGGCTACACACATGAGCCTGTTGGTCATAAATCTCCAAGTGAAAATCCTAGTTCTATTGGTTAGTTCGTCAACTGTTGTTATGTACTAAAGCATTCCATAACTCTATATCTTTTACAGGCAATCATTTTTTAATTGTGCATTTGTATGTAGGTGGGCTGGAACTTGACTGATCTAAGTGGGGGCTCAGCTGGGTGACTCTGCTTCCAGCTGAGGCAGCTGGGGCTTTCTGTTACTTACTGCAGGTCTAGGAGTCTGCTGGGAGACTTGGCTCCACATAGGTTCATTTTGGGGCAGAGGCCAAAGAGAGAGCAACTACTCAACAGAAACATTGGTAAAAATGCAAGAGAGCATCTGGGCATAGAGCTGACATATGGTGACATCCACACACGTACTATTCACCAAACCAAATCACACGATCAAGTCCAAAGTCAAGGAATAGGAAGGCATACTTTGTGATTGCCTTAGTGTAAGGATACAGAGAAGGTTGAAGAATTGGGGTTAATGATATAATCCACAATAATAGCTGTGTGTATTTGGGCCCTCCCTAGTGGTACCAGGGGTTAAAGGGCAGCCTATGAAGTTGTCCACAGCCATAGCAGCGAGTGGCAGACTTCTCCTGTTCCACCTGCTACTACCCTCAGCAGTGTAATTCAGCAGTGTAAGTCAGTCCTCATGTTCTATTCCCCACTCTGCCTCTGGTGAAACCTCTTACCCATCCACCCCCCCCCCCCATACACCTCTGGCCTGTGAACCAGTTTTTGTATGCATAAATAAATAAATCTTTAAAAATGTTGTTATTTCTTTACTGATAAAATAGAGGTAATGGGCCTATATCATAGAATCATATAAGGATTAAACAGAATAATGTAGGCAAAGCCCTTTAGCATAAGTGTCTGTAAATAGTAAGCAGACAATGTTTTGCCTACTGATGAGGGTTGCGTCCTAACACCAGGCTCACATTCATTGGATGACCCCAGCACTGGACTTCTTGGTCCAGAGTAGACCACAGACTCATTAATGCATGTCTTTGCCCTCCTAAGAGTGTGAATGAAACATGTAAAATCACGTAAACTATTTTCTCTTGTTCTCTGTAGGTTGGTTTAAGACAGAGTATCAGGGTCCATTACCCATTATCATTTTTCCAAAAAATGGTACAGTGGAGTCTAAATCATCAGTGGTTCTTAAAGTGGATTTCTGTGCAAATCAGCCTAGAACTGTACATGAATTTGCAAGGTGAGTGTCTACTATGGCTTGCAATTTTAATATAGTTCTTAATACTTTCCCTTTTCACTCATACCCATTGTGTTTTAACACATTAGTTTTTCTGTTCTTTCAGTCACTATTCATTCATTGAGTGTCTACTCTTTGCCAAGCACTAGGGACTCAAATGTGTGAAAAAAACCATAGGATATGATACATTTGGGTATCTATAACAGGAGCTCCTAGTTTGATTTATAGGGGTAAGGGAGTATATAGGAAATAGCTCTACTAAGTAGGTGATAGTTGATCTAAACACTTATTGGTGACTATGGTTTATACAGTAAGGGGCAGTAGCAATAGTGAGATGTGGTGTGTATGTGTGTATTTATTTATAGGAGAGGTAGGACTGATGATAGGTTGGATTAGATGAGTGATTTCAGGCAAAGCAAGTAGAAGTCTTGAAGTTCTAGAGATCAGTAAGTAGACTGTGTGATCTGAGACAATACAGAGGACTACATTCAGGCCTGAGAGAGAGAGAAATGTATAGGTAGACAGTTTCAAATTAGTCAGGGAAGTGATTGTTTTATGGGAAGGATATTCATATCAGTAAAGAAGTGGGGCTTTGTGAGATATTTTGTAGGGAATTTTGGTTAAGATAAGGATGAATTTGTTGGATTTGGAGGAACATGATTAATTTAGGAAAGAATAAGAATTCTAGAATTAATGGCTTCCCTGGTGGAGGAGGGGTTAAAGTCTCAGTGCTACCAAGCTATAGCCAGCCTGCAGCATGAGTTTAATCCCTGGCCAGGGAGCTGACCCATATGGTGCAGCAGACCTCTCCTGTTTTGCCCACTGCTCCCCTCAGCGGTATATTTCAGTGGATCTGCTTGTTCTGCTCCCTGCTCTATTTCTGGTGAATCCTCCCACCAACTAAACCTCTGGCCTGTCCCCCAATTCTTGTATTCATAAATAAATAAAATCTAAAAAAAAATAACTACAGGAGACCATGTTAATCATCACTAATACTTACAAAATAACTGGTGATGGAGACATACAAATAAGTACTTTTGGGGTTTCAATTGTGTGATTGTTTCCCGCTTTTGTTTGCACATAAGCCATTCTACTGTGCAGATTCAGACAGACAGAAGGACATGACAGTCTCTGGTTTGTATATGAAAGGAACTCTTATGTCTGTGACATTTAATTATAGTATGATTTTATATACCATTCCTGTTTATCCCAATAATTAGGGAAAAACTAAAATATATGGAATTTGAATTAAAAATATATTAATAATTGATTATCTTGTAGAGTGAGTTTGCAAGGTCGTCCAGACATATTCTTAAATATCAAAGCACTCGTGGTTGATCCAGTTATTGAACTGTTAAGCATGACTAATGAGCGAAGGCTGGACTGTATACGTTTTGGTTCTGTTTTCTTCGGAACGTCAAAAATTGAACAGATACTTCTTTACAATAATAGCCCAGAACCCATAAATTGGGTGGCCATAATGCAGGATGATTCAGTTGGAGAAGAACTGGTAAGTAATACCACAGAGGGGAAGAGGGGAAGATCAGTCATTATCTTCTGAAACATTATTTTGAACTTACTAATAACCAACAAGCTGTTATTCTATTAAATAATTAACATGACTTGAAGATTGACTTCATTTTATTTGTTTCTAAGGATAACCTCAAAAGCCATTAAATCAGACTAACATTGCTAATATTTACATCTGAAGTAAACTAGGTAATTGTTTTTATAGATCAGGGACTAATTGCAGGATTTTCTTCTGTCTCATCAGTTTTTTAATAGTTCTTTAAATTTTATGTTCCTTGGTCTCTGATGTTAGCTTAAAGATACATACTTTCTTCTAGACTATGAAATTTCAATAATTATTTTATGACCTACTGTTGAAATACTTCATTTTGTTGCATTTTTCCTTAATGCTCTTTATTTCTGACTTTATATTACAGGGTACAAATATTCGACAAAGAACAGATGTTGTTTTAAATAATCTCACCTGCTTACGCAAAGTAAAGGAAATAGATGTAACCACTTTTATCTCTTGTATTCCTAATGAAGGGCGTTTGCTACCTTATGAAAAGACTGTAATTACATTTTGTTTTAGCCCAAAGTAAGCAAAAATCAATTGCATTGCAATATCCCTTATGAATGGAAAGCATATTAACTATACATTCATCAGATTGATTTTGATAGTGATCATTCTGTTCTTTCTGATATCTCTAAGTGTTTCCAACATGGTTATTATATCCAATATGTAAGTGTGGTTCTAAATACTTTGTTACATTAAAAATCTTTCTAGACTTAGTGGAAATGGAATGATGGAAGTGAAAGTTTGGGGTTGTTTGCATTGTGACCCCAATCCCATGTGTGCAAATAGACTTTTTTTCCCTGCAGAAGTAATTAGGTGTTGGCTGGTGGCAAGCAGAGTATTCTAGGTGTCCCAAAGAAGAGGCTGTGAGCAAAATGCCTGTTGATAAAGTATCATACATATTAAACCTATTTGAGCTGGGATTAACCACAGCTGCTTGCTGTAATTAATGTACATTTTTAAGAGTTTATTTATTTATTTTTGCTAATGTTTGTTTCATACACAAGCTTTTGTACTTGGTTTTGCTATTTAGTTTTAGATATATTTGGAAATGCAATTATAAATCTATAGGAACCAATTCAGCTACACTTGAGAGGTTGCAGTGTGTGACAATAACCAGTACACTTCTAAGTATGTTTACTCTTGTTTGTGAAAAGACAATGTTGTTTTTTTTTTTTTAAGATTTATTTATTTGTACATACAGAACTGGGGTACAGGCCAGAGGCTCAGGGGAGGTGAGAGGCTTCACCAGAGACAGAGTGAGGAACAGAACAGGCAGATCAACAAAGTACACTGCTGAGGGGAGCAGCAGGCGAGTCAGGAAAGGTCTGCCATGCCATGTGGTCTCCTCCGGGGGAGACAGGAATCGAACTCATGCGGAAGTGGCTTTAGCTTCTCAGTGCAGTGCTTTAACCCGCTGCGCCACCAGGGAGGGCCAAGAAGGCAATGTTTAATAATGTATCTTTGTGGCAGCAGAGACACTAGCAATATTAAAGTTGTGTTGAAGAGTTGTGTCTTAATAATAGTGCCCCCTTGCAACATGTCAACAAAAATAACTGAGATACTTTTAAAAAATGAAATACCAAAATTGTGGTGGAACTGGAACCAAATAAAACAACCCCTTGATAAAATAAGTGGATATTGGAAAGTGGATATTTCCATTAGTTTACATGGCTGCATGTACATCTAAGATAAGAACTGGGAATTCGCCAGATTTTCCTCGTACGAACAACATAGTAATCTGTTGGAAACTCAGCTATTTTTCTCTTTACTAGACCTTAAAAATGTAGGGCTTTTGTTTAGATTTAGAAGACATAATAGATTAAAAAAATGTGCATTTTTAAATGTTCCAAGTAATGCTTTAGATGATATATGGGGAATGGATTTAAGTCAATTAAAACAGCACTCTGATAAAACAAAGAAACAAGCACACTCAAAAAGAGTTGTATTTTAATTGAAGGAGGGTAATCCATTTTTTATGTGTACAGTCTGTGATAGTTGTATCAGTCATACCTTGATATTGGAGATTTTTGGTGAATGTGTAAGATTCTGTTTAATACACAGTCCTTGAAATCCCAAAGTTGGTTTGTTGGTTGCTTAGTTGTGTGTGTGTGTGTGTCAGTCAGCATGTTAACTTTGAGAGTCTGAGCCATAAGTTTATAGTTATGAGAATAATTTCAGGTCTTAGTTAAATGTGTTCTCAACATGTTACTGATATTTGCATCCAGATGTGCTATTTCTCATCAATTTCTTGTGTATATATGTGAGCTGACATCTAGGTAAGACAATTAAAGTTAGCCCCTCTGCAGGCCTGTGATTTTAGTTCATCTGTCTATATCCTCCTTCCTCTTTCCGTCTGTTCTTTTTCTGTGTTGACAAATGTTGCTGTTATCTTGTTTTCCAAATTTGTTGTTTTTCTCTAAAAGGAATATGCTTAACAATATGTACTTAGTCCATGGGAGAAATATAATAGAACATTGCAACTAGACATGCAGGATTAAGAAGAGCTACTGTAGAAAACTGAACAGTCCTTAACCAGCAGTGAATGCAGCCTGGGAAGAAACTCCTTTATATAGTAAAGTGGCATTTGAGCAGAACTTGATGTGATACATTTTAATAGCTCTTGTCTTGCAAATGTTGTCATGACTTTTTTTGGATCTTTACCATTTGTGGCCTTCTTTTAGAAAATCTCTGTATCATTTCAGAAATTTTGGGAAATGAATCACTGTTCTATTTTTATCCTTGACATTTCACCTTTTTTCATTGATTTAAATATTGGGTTGATACTCCCTACTAGAAGGCCATAAATGTATCACCTGTGTTTTAAAACTAAATGTGATTTTTTTTCCCCACAGGCTAATAGTTGATGCTAAAAAGAATTTTGATCCTTCACATAGGCAGGATTATGTTGTCTTCTTGAGATTTGAGTCTGTAGGAAGTAAAGAAGGATTTTTAAGAGATGATAATGAAAGCATCAAAAGTAAGTGTGAAATGGGCAGAATCACAAACATGTAACAATTTAAGAGTTTAAACATCAGTATCTATAAAAGGCAATTTAATAAAAATACACAATTGCTGAATAGAATGAAAATGCAAATATATCTAAAAGACCTTAAAACATCATCTGAGGCATGTTAGGAAAGTAGTCAACCTCAGTATTTAGATAACATTATTTTAAAAAGACATTAGGTAAACATGATAATCTAGTATTTAAGGACTGAAGAAAAGGGGGAAAAAACATGATTTCATTTCTATGTAGGCTTACGTTGTCTCTTAGAGATTGATATGCCACCAAATGACACATTCCATCTTTCCCAGGCTTTCAGCTTTCTTAGACTCTTTATACAGTAACAGTCAAAGAACCAGACCTGAAGCTCTCGTAAACAGGGTGCAGTGTCCTGTTCTAGGATATTAAAGTGTGTAGTCTTTGTCGGCTACATGTAAGATGCATTAGACTTTTAACATAATGTTGGATGGACTACAGTGAGCAAAAGAGGACTAAGATTTGAAGTTCAGTTTAGCAAGACGGATTGAAGGTAAAATAAATATATAGACAGATGAAGGTTCAGTTCAGAATGATGAGACATGGTGTGTCACGAGTCTAGGAGCGTTACATGTCAGTGTAAGTCAAATTACTGAGGAGGGTTGACCTGTGTTCCCAGGTCAGGAATTGATTGGTCTGTTACTACTTATGTTATGGTTTCTCTGCTGATCAGAGACAGAACATGTGTATGAGGCTTCAAGTTAATCTACTTTGGTTAACCAGAGATGGACGTGCTAGATTTGCCTTAGAAGTAATTGAGAGTCTAAGATTGGTTAGTAAGATCGTCAGTGAAGAAATAGGAACTCTCTGGATTCTAGTTAAATTGCTCTCTGCAAAAATTTTCTTTCACCCAATTAAAGCCTACACTTCATAGTTCCTTTCTTCTTTCTAGTGTGTCAAAAATCTCATGTCGATCTTGCTGCCCAGTTTATATTCTCATTTCCATTGTTTTAACCACTTTGTCCCTGTACTGTCAGATTTCTTGTCCAATCTCCCATTGAGATTGTTGAAAACTTGTAATCTGATTTAAATTCAAACTTGAGTCTCCTTTGGTCTGCACCTCAGAAGCTGTTGTGCGGGAGACCAACACAAACGGCACTCTAAGGGTTCACTTTCTATCAGTAGCCACTCATCTAAAGTGGGTCCTTGAAGAAGTTTGATATTCCCACTGTCCATTTGTTCACCTTCTCAGAATCTGTGATTAATGTCGCACACCTTTGCTTCACTTCAAACCGCCCATGCGTCTTCCTTCACTTCCACTCTAAGTGTGTAAATACTTTAAGTGATCTAGTAGACATGTTTAGTAGCTGTCTCAAATATAATGTCTAAAAGAACTCTGGTTTTCCCATAACCTGTCCCTCCTGTAGTCTTTCCTCACTCAAGAAATGGCAAATCCATCATTTCAGTTGCTCCAGTCCAAAATTGTATTACTGTTATTTATCACATTATCCGTTTCCTATTCTACATCATTCCTCAATTTTTGTTTACTTTGAAAAATCATTCTAAAGTCATACCACCATATCTCACCATTCTTCGATTCCTTAATTTTTTTTTCTAAATATGCCAAGAAAAATTCTGCCTTAGAATTTTTGTATTTGCTGTTCTCTATGTTTGAAATAGATTTTTTCCCCTGGATGTTGACATGATTTTCTTCCAGGGTTCCCTTTTATTTTTGCTTAAATATCTTTCAGACAGGCCTTTTGGATCTCCTTATAAAAGGAACAGCTCCAGGGTATGGTGATTTTTCTTGCTTTACTTTACATGTCCCCCTAGTAACTATCCTTTCTGAAATGCTGTCTGTTTGATTATTTATATTATTGTCAATATCACTGCACTTGAATATAAAGTCCATGAGGATTTTGCTTATTCGCTGCTGTATCCCCAAGGCCAAGAAGAGTACACGGCGCAGAGAAGGCACTTGATGATTTGGTTGCATGAAAGATTGAAGGAGCTGTCCAAGTCTCGTTAGGTCTATCACATGACACTATTTGGACTGAGCAAATAGATTGTGGACTCCAAAAACATACTTTGTGTTAAAAAGCTGTTATTATTTTTACAGGTGATCGATATCGGAAAGTGGAATTAGCACTAACTGGAACAGGACTTCCTGTCCTATTACACTTTGATCCAGGACAGGTCCTTAATTTTGCACCTTGTTTCATGGGTGAATGTTCAGAAATTACATGTATTATGCAAAATCAATCCAAGTCACTTCCTGTGATATACCACTTTAAAAAAACTGCGCATTTTAAAATTGATCCTCAAAACGGCAAGCTTGATGAAGGATGTATCCAGGTAAGACGATTACTTAATGCTTCCACATGCTTCAACTATATATTTACTTTTTGAACAATATGATTTCTCCCCTCAGGTGTGGTCTCTGTCCTGCTCCTATCACCAAAATACTCACAGTGGATCACCATATTCCCTTGCGCTCTTACCCCCAGCCCTTCTTCCCCTTCATCTTAGATGCCTCATATCTATGGTCAGCTTTCAAGGTTTGCGTCCATCAGAGTAATATTCCATTGTCTCTGTATACCACATCTTCTCGATCCATTCATCTGCTTGGGAGCATTTCCATTATCTTGGCTACTGTAAATAGGGCTGCAATAAACATAGGGGTGTGGGTGTCCTTTCGAATTAGTGCTTTTGTGTTCTTTAGGTAGATTCCCAGGCGTGGAATAGCAGATTGGTGTGGAAAATCCATTCCCAGTGTTTTGAGGAACCTCCATACAGCCTCCCATAGTGGCTGGACCAGTTTACATCTCTAAAAATATGCTCCATATATTTTAAGGTTTACTAAAATGTCATGAAGAGTATTATAAACTACATTTATTCCACCAGTGTTTAGAAATTGTATCTCTTCTGTGGCCTACTTATGAATACTTTTGTATTGACAGTCACACAGTGTTTGTAATTATTTAAGTGCCTTTCTACATACCAGAAAAGCATTTGACACTGCAGGGAATATAAAATCTGTGCAAAACACAGTTACTGCTTTCAAGAATTTTGTTGTTTCTGAGAGTGTTTCTATGTCTCATGCCCAAGCGATTGGCTACTAAACTTTATATCCTGCACAGAGCATGTGCCCTCCAGGTGTGGTGTGTGCAGGAATTGATCTTGGAGTCCTTGTCTAGGGCAGTGAAATCCAGGGATCAGAGGTGGGATACCTCTGAGCCAACAGCTGCCAAGAGCAGCAAAAGACAAAAGGAGATGGAAGGCAAGAACTCACACGTGAAGGGGAGTACAAGATGTTTTGGGTCCCAGCACCAAATTGAAGGGTCGCCAAGCTAGGTGTGCATACATGTGCTAGAAGCAGAGGTCCTGGGCGATGGGCCCCAAGACAGGAATGGAGAGGCCTTGCCCTCCTGTGAGGTGAGGTGGTATGGGAGGAAGCAGACACAGCAGTTCCGGTCCTGCCTGGGGGCTAAGTTTCTGAGAGTTTGCATGCCTCCTTCTTGTCCCCACCCCAGCTCAGGCTGATGGGTAAGGCACTCTTTGCTGCTGGCTGTGGGCTTTGTGTGTCTGGGAGACAGGGAGGAGGTGGGGCAGGCTGTCTTCAGCTGGAGAGGAGCTGAGCGCAGGTCCTAGCACAGGCTCAGGTCTGGTCCTGGCACAGGCTTTCTGTCCTGGCTTGCCTCATGCAGGTGCCTCAGGGGTGCGGTAGCCACTTGGTTTCCTTGCTCTTAGCAGTTGAGGGATTCCCGGATGGCACCCAGGCTGTGGTCAGGTGATCCCGGTGATGAGATGTGGGCAGTTAGGGTCTTTGGGAGGTTACTGTTTTCAGCTGTGCTGACTGGCAAAGTGCCCCAGCTCCATCACCAGTGCAGGCACAGCCCCAGCCACTGAGTGCCTGGACCAAGGGCTTCTGGTTCCCAGCGGCTGGGCTCAGCCTGTGATACCACCTTCTTCCCTCCAGCTGGCCACCGGTAAGAAATGTTTAGTGCAATAGGAAGGGAACGACATAGATACAAACTGGTGTGGTTTAAGAAGAACGTAAAATAGGCTGAAAGAGATCTGTAGCTAGGTGATAGAAAAACTCAGAGAGCAGTGTTTGCTTCCAGGCAGGGTAGAAAGGTTTCCTGCTATGGTGACAGATGAGCCAGACCTTAAATAGACTTCACATTTGAAACTGGTGATAGGCAACTGGTCTAGGCCGTGCAGTACTCACACAGAGCAGAGAGCACAGACCCCTGAGGTGTACTGGTGGACACCAGGCCAGCTTCTAGATGCCAGGGCAGCTTTAATTTCATTTTTCTTTGCTGCTTAGACAACTCCCATGCCCCCTGAACCGGGGCTTGATGGACTGTGACTTACAGGCTCAGTTTTGCCTCCCGCCTGGGTTTTCTCAGTCCATAGTCACTGAGGAGGCAGCATGGACCCTTGGCAGCAGGAATGGCACAGCGAAGTCCCTCCCCCCCCCACCATATACTTTTTTCTAATTGAAGTAACATTGTATTAGAACATCTAAATTTCATGTGTTGACCTTTGACAATCAGCGAATTGTGTGCTACATTAAGTTCACTGCCAACCATCCTGATCTGTCCTTCATCATGGAATTCTCGCCTTTTAAAGATTTGGCTGCCTCCTTCCTCCTCTTTTTTGGGAACCATTAATTGGCCTTATTATTCAAAAGTTTACTTATCTCTGTGCTTTCTCCATTATCATGTGAGTGAAATCATACGGTGTTTTTCTTTCTTTGCTTGACTCCTTTAGCAAAACAGGATACCCCTTAGGTTCATTTGTGTTGTTGCAAATGGCAGTTTTCCCTCTTCTTTTCCCCAGTTTATAGGTGAGTAGTATGTCATTGTGTCTACATACCACATCTTCATCCATTCCTCAGTTGCTGGACACTTAGATTGTTTCCAGCTCTTGGCTATTGTAAAAAATGCTGGGGATATATGTATCTCTTTGAATCAGTGCTTTTATACTTTTTTAGGCAAATGCCCAGAAAAGGGATAACTGCATTATATGAGATTTCTATTTTGAAACTCTCGGGGGCTATCCATATTGCTTTCCATAATGGCAATACTAGCTCACATTCCCACCATGAGTATATCAAAGTTCCCTTCTTATCCTCTCCAGCACTTGTTTCTTGTCTCTTGAATAATAGCCATTGTCAGAGGTGTGAGGCTAGCTCATTGTTGTTCTGATTTGCATTTCCTTAATAAAAAAGATGATGAACATTTTTTTTTTTTGAGACGATGAAAATTTTTTCATGTGCCTGGTAGCCATCTGCTTATCTTCTTAGGAGAGACTGGCCATTTTTATTTTTTTAAATATCTAGTTATTTATGCATACAGAACTGGGGTACAGGCCAGAGATGCAGGAGTGGTGAGTGGATTCACCAGAGACAGAGTGGGGCTGACTGATGAAGTTCACTGAGGGGAGCAGCAGGTGGGTCAGTAGAGTCTGCCATGCCATGTGGGTCACTTCCAGGCCGGAGATCGAACTCATGCTAAAGTAGCTTTAGCTTCTTAGCGTTGTGCTTTAACTTGGTGCACCAGCCATTTTTAATCGGGCATTTTGTTGTTGTGTTTTCTGAGTTCTTTGTGTATTTTGGATACCAAGCTCCTATTGGATGTATGTTGTGTTCCCATTGAGTAGCATGTCTTTTGGTTTTAATGTTTTTTTTTTTTGGGCTATGCAGAAGCTTTTTAGCTTGGTACAGTCCTGTTTATTTTGGCCTTTGTTTTTCTTATTGTAGGAATGGAGTCTCCACACACATCTCCAAGGCTGTTGTCAAAGACTGAGTGCATTGCTATTGTTTTCTTCTCTGTATTTCGTGCTGTTAGGTCTTACATCTAAGTCTAATCCATCTTTATTTATTTATTTTTTGTGTGCATAGAGTGAGATAGTAGGCTAGATTCATTCTTTGGCATGTGGCTTTCCAGTTTCCCCAGCACCACTGGAATCTTTCCTTGCTTCAATGCAAGCTTTTGGCAGCTTTGTCATAAATTAGTTATCCATATGTGTATGGTTTTGTTTTTAAACTTTCAATTCTGTTCCATTGACCTGTGTATCTGTTTTTATTCCAATAGCAACCTTTTAAAATTACTGTCTTTTTTGAGTATATTTAAAAGTTGGAGAGTGTGGACCACCATTTTCTTTGTCTTGAGAGCGTTTTTGCTATTCATAGTGTTTTTGTTCCAAATAAGTATCAGTGATTTTTTGGTTCTATTTCTGTGTAGAATGCCACTGGGATTTTGATAGGAACTGCATTGGGTAATATAGACATTTTAATGATGCTAAATTTTCCAATCCATGTGCACAAAATACCTTGCTATCACTTACTGTATTTCTTTCAACAGTGTCTTATGGTTTTGATATACAGGTGTTTCACTTTTTCATTCAATTTATTACAAGTTACTGAATTTTTGATAGAATTGTCGATGGTACTGTTTTCCTGATTTACCTTTATGCTAGTTCATTATTTGCATACAGAAATGCAACAGATTTTGTGTAATAATTGTGCAGCCTGCCACTTAAGTGTATTCATTTGTTTTTTGTTTTTGTTTTTGTTTTTTAAGTAAACCATTACTGGAACATAACTGCTTCTATTTGTTCACCTATTGTCTGTGACTACTTTCATACTATAAAGGCAAGGATCAATAGTTGTGAGAAAGTTGTAAGGCCCATAAAGCTTAAAGTATTTACTCCCTGGCATTTTAAATAAAAATGTTTTCCAAAACTTGCTCTAAATGCTAGCAAACATGAGAGATTTCAATTTTGCTTCAGTTCATGATCTTATATCCTTTCTTCACTGCATAGTGATTTGGTTCTTAAAGTTATTGTTGGAATAGAGAGCTATTGTATGTATATTTAAGTGTCTAACTTATATATACAATCCACTGCTTTATCAGAATGACTCTCCCACCAAATTTAGAGAGGTTTAGTCAGTATTTATAAAATAACAAGAGTTAACTAAATTATGGAGAATATTTATCTTAAATGCATACCTAGGCTTCCTTTAGTCCATTTCTCTCAAGTCTACTCCTCAGATCATTTTTCCCAGTATATACAAACATATAAAATTAAGTTCCTAATTTAAGTTTTCACCCTTTGTTTCTGGATTTCTTTAGCACTAGTTATCTTTCCTACAGTGAATGTAGGAAATGTCCTTTACTAGCTGCTAGACTAACCATTTACACAGTTAACACAGTACAGCTATAATGCCATAAAGCCTTTTTTTCCCCAAAGATCCAGCCTTGTTTTCTGTTGTTCAAATAAATGTTCCTTGAATTTTACCAAGCACTTGGGTAATATTCAAGTATCTGAAAAGTTGATTTTTAAAAAAGATTTATTTATTTATTCATACAGAACTGGGGTACAGACCAGAGATGCAGAGTGTGAGAGGATTCATCAGGGACAGAGTGGGGAGCAGAACAGGCAGATCGA